CTCCTTCTCTGGAGATATTCCAGCCCCGCCTGGACGCGGTGCTGTGCAGCCTGCCCTTGGTGACCCTGCTTGGGCAGGGGGTTGGGCTGGGTGACCCACAGAGGTCCCTTCCAACCCCCACCATTCTGTGATTCTGTGATTCTGTTCCAGTTGCGGGCAGGCAGAGCATCGCGCCGGGGCAGGACGGAGCGCTGAGCCTTGGTGTTGGGTCTGGTGCCCTTGTCCCGGGGGTCATCTCCTGGGATCTGGCTTGTGAAAAGACGCGGTTTCCGTACGGGCTGCGGCAGAGCGGGACGAGTCCCTCGCGCTGGCTGCAGTCGGGGTCGCTGCTTGGAGGTGAGAAAGTCGGGTCTGGAGCCACGCTGTGCTAACGGGCTGCTCCGGCATGGACTGCGAGCGGGCTTCCAGGCACCACCCTTTGCAGTTATTAATTAGGATTTTACCAGCCTCCTCCTGCCTCTTCCAGCTCCCCTTCCTCAGCCAAGCTGCTCGGGTGGGACTCCCAGGGGGTGGCTTGGGGATGTCCTCGTGGCTTTGGTAGCGCGTGGCTTGGATGGAGGAAAAACTGCACTGAACGCAGCCGGAGAGCTCCTCTTTTTGGAAGATTTGTGGCTCAGAGGGTCCCTAGCAGGGAACATTTTTTTTCCCGCGGCGAGCCGTGCCATGCCGTGCCGCGGGAGCAGCCGCGACAAGCCGCGACCGTAAAGCCTGTGTGCAAGAAATCATCCGTGCTGAATAAAATGACAACAGAGCTGTAATGCTTTGTGGAGTGTGTTTAATGAAAATATCAGCCCGGGCCTACGACATGAGGCATTCATGTATAATAAAATGAGGTTCCTGAAACACTTCAGAGCATAAACCATCTGGTCTGCTGTGATGTACTAACAGCTTTGACTAATTTTTAATGCAGGTTTTATGACGGATATGCACATCACGCCACCCATGCATAAGGAAGATACAGCCTGGCTGCACTTTGAACTGAACTGACTGATGATGAATTTGTCTCCCATTTTAATTACTTTCTGTACATTAAAGGTGTAGTGGACCATGTGAAGTGCTTTGTCTGGCTTATCCCCTCCGTGTCCCCACGTCTCCTCAAAGTGCCGGAGCTGCCTCCGCTCCCTTATCGGCAGCCAGGCATGCGGGCGAGGGAAAAGAGGGAGATGGAGAGAAAACTGCCTCGTGTAGGACTCGGTCAGTGAACACACTGGGCCACCAGCAACAAGCGCCTTTCATGAGGCTAATTAGTTCTTATTAATTATGTCCCTTGAAATTTTCTCCAGCCGGTACGGCCGGGATCGGTGCTGCCTGGTGGGGTTTGCAGGGAGAGCTCGCCGCTTTCTGCTGCGCGAATCAGAGCTGTAGCTCGCGACGGGAAAGGCTTTCAGACTGCAGTCTCGGCTCTCGGCGGCCTCTGGCCAGGCTCTTGCTCTTTAATGAATTTTTAAAAGACTTTATCAGCTTCAAAACATATTTATTTATTTAACACAACCCAAAAGTGGAACCATTTATCTGAGCGAGGCCCGGACATTCGGGTTGGTGCTGGAATAGAGTTGGCGTTAGCTGGACCAAGGCCTCGGCAGGGCTTTTGCCCGTTTCTGACTGAATTTGCAGCATGGCTTGGCTCTGCCCCTCTCCTGGTTCCCCGGAGAGCTGGTTCCCAGAGGAGACACCAGTTCGGAAAGGCGAGCATCTCCTTATGCCAATTCTTCTGGAGAAATTCAAATGACTGTTTAATGCCCTATGACCATGCTCCCACGTCTTCAACTTTTCCCATCTTTTGGAAAAAAAGGAGAAGAGTGAAGGAAGCTCAGCCAGGGCTGGCGTGGCCGTGAGGTTGTGGCGTTCCTCTTCCCCTTGTCGTGGCATTCCTCTCCCCTTCCACCACGGTGGCTCTGGAACATCAGAGTGGCAAGGGATTTGCTTTCTGGGTTAGCGACAATACCAGGATTTGATTTGTCAATTAAAACATGCAACGGGACTTGAGTCAACAAGAGTGAGGCTTTTTCCAGCTCCCCTTTCTCTCTCCTTCCATGGGGCCTGGAACTGGACAGACCGTTAATTGCAAATACATTATCTAATGACTTCAGTCCTTTGTTTATCCTGAAAGTCATTTGTGAACCGATCACGGCTCCTCTCCCTGCCGTCATCCTCCGGGGATGAATGAGCGTTACTGTAGTCTGGGAATTCGGCTTTGGCTGTGTTTCTGATGCTTGCAGCGTTGTCCTGGTTTTAGTCATCGATTGGCCAGCCGAAGCCCTTCACATGGGAGAGGGCTGAATAATGAGTAACCTGCCTCCCGAAGCGAGCATCCAGACACGCTGAATTTCACAGACCTTGTGGGATTCACCAGGATTTGAACAAATCGGCCAGCGGTCGTCCTGCTGCTGGAGACGAGCTAAGGGGATGGCCGTGCTGGGAGCCACCGCAGACAAAAAGTGTTTTGTTAATGGGAATGCCCGCAAAGCACGGCTTACGTTCTTCAAGTGGAAACTTAAATTCCAGTCTCAGTGTAAAAAAAAAAAAGAATTAAAAATTCAGTAATGAGACTGGGCTTGGTGACGGAGCAGAATGGAAAGTACCTACAAGCAGCAAATGGATTGCCAAGGACAGAAAGCCCTCCAAGCGCAATGTGTTCAAAAGCAAAATGTCATTTTACTGGATGTTCGCTTCGCCTTGCTAACGAGCACTCTGCTTCATCCCCTTTTCCTGGAGGATTTTCATTTTAGCCTTGCTGCTGCATTCTCCGTTCCGTTGTTTCCGCTGATCTCCGAGCGAGCGTCTCGCGCGGCCTTCGTGGGTCGGTGGTAACGGGGCTGTTCTCCCGTTAGCAGCGATAACGACGAGTTCAGCACTTAAAACCCCACGCTAACTGGTTGAAGAGGTTTTGTCTGGACCGTACTCGATCATCAGGCGCAGATATTAAATGCATCCCTGTCGCTGCGTGCAGCTTCCGACAGCTGCTCTGTTTGCATACCCTGTTCCTCCCTGCAAACGAGATCCTGCTTTGGAAAGCTTCTTTGGGGAATACCTCGCAGTTGGCCTTGTTTGTTTAGGAAAATATTTATACGAGTTGTTCTTTGAAGGGAAAGGCTCGCTGAGAGGCTTCCTGGGGAGCTGGGTGGTGGGGGGGAGCTGGTCCAGGCGGCAGGGCTGCGCTGCCGGAGCACCCACCATGCTCGCTGCGGGGACACCGGGGGTTGCAGGCTGCACGCTGAAGCTCCTTTCTGCTTCCAGAGCCCCCAGTTGGGCATCCCACTGGGGTCATAGCATCCTCCCAGCCCGGAGACCTGCAGGTCCTCCGCAGAGGGGGAGAGGAGCTGCCCGAGCATCCTTTGCTGGGCACCAGCACGGCTGCTGGCAGTCTGGGGCTGCTGCGTTGCGGAGAGGTTTCCCAGAGCAGAAGGAAATCCAGGTGCAGGCGGGGTGTGTGAGCAGGCAGGGTGCTGGACGGAGCTGCACAGACCCCCCCGGTGCGTGCATTAATTAGGATTAAAATGGTGGGGTGCACCCACCCTGGGCAGCAGGCACCGTCGTTCTGGTCTGCTCCGCAGAGGTGCCCAGGGCAGGTCCCTGCACGCTGCTTGAGGTGATCCCGGGGCCAAGCACGGACCTGGGCAAACTGTCCAGTTCCCAGGGGAGTGGCCTGAGCACTGGGCATCCCTGCAAGGGCCAGTCTGGGCACTGGTGGGTGGCTCTCACCCCCCTGAAACAGGGTCCACAAAATCCCACGGCGCCCAGCCTGATGCTGCTGTTGGTTTTGGAGTGAGTGATTGTGTTGTTCCAGCTGGGATTATCCCGGGGTCCGAAGTGACAGAAGCGGGAAGTGATGATGAGCCAAAAAGTGCATTCAGGGATATTTTTTTTTTTTTCCTTTGAAAAAGTCAGAGTTGGGCAAGAGCAACAGGTCTGGTGCTGCTCAGACAAGTCCCGAGCCGTTGTCCCCGCTGCCTGTCTCTGCCCTAAGCCCTAAGGCAGCCCGGAGCTCATCCCTGTGCTACCAGCTCAGCTTGCAGGAGAGAGGAAAAACCATGTGCCTGCCTAATTTGGAGGCACATGCAAACGATCGTCGTTATTCAAATCGGTGGCTTTGCATCCCTGGGTAGCTCCAGAGCGGAGCACTCCTGGAGTCCCAGGTTCGGGCTGGAAGCGGGACATTGCCTCACAGAACCACAGACCCACAGCATGGTGGGGGTTGGCAGGGCCTTCTGTGGGTCACCCAGCCCAACCCCCTGCCCAAGCAGGGTCACCCAGAGCAGGCTGCACAGTACCTTGTCCAGGCTGGTCTTGAATATCTCCAGAGAAGGAGACTCCACAGCCTCCC